TTTAGATGAATTTATCAATCTCTTGAAAAAAGCTTTCATGTTTTTTAAATAATATTTTAGAATGCTTCTCTCTGAATATATGCATGTATATATTATACAGGTCCTCCCATTTTCTTAGTTTTGCTTTAAAAATCTATTTTATCATTTGACATTACTTTGGTAGGAGGTATGACTTAGAAATTCCAACTTCATTTGATTGGTCGACTGATTTTGAGACAGGAACTCACTATGTAGCCCTGTCTGGCCTGGAACTTGCTGTATAGACCAGACTGACCTTGATTGAATTTACTACAATCCCTCTTTTCTGCCTCTCAAGTGCTGGATTGCAGGTTATAGGTATGAACCCCCAAACTCAGTGTTCTCTCTGCCTCCTTCCCTCCTTCATATGGTAATCTGGCTGTCTTAAAAAGAAATTCTTATTTCTTCTTGTGATCTGAAATGCTTACCCAAGAGTCTATGCACCTGGCTCCATTCCTGACCTTGAACTCTGTGTGCTTATGCAGAAATGCCACACTGCTTTTAGTAGCAGAGCTTGAAGGGCCCAGACCCTTACCCAGCCTCCTGCTTTGGCAGCCATGACAGGCTGCAGAAAAGACCCAGCAAGACGTAGGCCCCTGACTCAGTAACATGTGCTGAGCCCCCATCCTTGCCTGACCTTGCCCTAATTACTAGGAAGCTCCATGTGGTGCTAGATATCCTCCATGTGGTGAGGAACCAATCAGAAGTTAGCTGGTGGATTCTGGATGTACTTTACTGATAATAGTGGAATGCGAAGCATAGCAACCAACCTGGGAGGGCCTCTCGGCATAGCAACCTTTCTGCAGCTGCAGCTGACCAGTCAACTCAGGACAGGTTGCCCAAGCCCTGAGGTGCACCAATCCTGAGACTGTTGCTATGCAACTAGTGGACCCCCCCCAGGTACTCCCCTTGCTCTACCCCAATATATTCCCTGCCCCACTGCTGCTCAGGGTCCCTCCTACTCTGCCTGCTGTGTCAGATGGATGGAGGACACAAGTTAATATAGTTAACTCATTAATTAAAAAGACTCTTTGCTTTTGCTTCAGATCTGGTCTCTTGGTGGTTTTGGGGGTCCAGAGTCTGAGCACCACTAGCTTTCCTATCTAGGGTCCTTGGGGGTTAGGTGATCCATTCATGATGTTTTTTCCTACTTCTAGTTTGTATTTTATTGTCAGAGTTAGCTTGTGTAGCTTCCTCCATCAACTGATTCTAGACAATTTGCTATTTTTAGAGAGCATACTGGATTGATAATCTTCAGAGGGAATTGAAGGTACTCTGACACCTCATTTTCCTGAAGAAGAAACAGAGTGTTTCTTTTAGTAGCATCGACAGATGTCCCTAACGTGTATCTCATTTATTTTCCTATACATCTTCATATTTGCTGCCATTCTCCCATCTCAGTTCTATCTTCTGCCTGGTTGTATTTTGGTGGTACTGGGGTTGGAGTCTAGGGCTTCAAGCATGCAAAGCAAGTGGACCCTGGTTTCTTCCATTAGTTTCATATCTAGCCATCCTACAGACTCCTCTTATGGAAGAATGTTCCGCTGATTTCTAGGTAAGTCATCTGCAGATGGCAGTAGTGTTTTTTACCCCCTACTTCCAAATTATTTTTTAATCTTATCTCTCTTTCTGACTTAGTGGGGGTGCTTTCAGTAATTTCCCTCATAAACATGGTATACCTAATGATTTCTTCCTGGAAATTCATTTCAAGTTCTACCTAAAATGAACTTTACTCCATTGTCAGTCATGAGTAACTGTGCCAGAATTCCCAGTCTTTTCTTTGAAAGAGAAAAGAATGATAGGGTTCGAGCTAGGTAGGTCTTCCTTCCTTTAAACAGCATTCCACTGGCTTCCACTTGGTTGCTCTCCGCCAATACTGAGAAGGAGACAGTGTCCTTCACTCAGGAAGCAGCCTTACGGCCTGCAGGGCCAGACTCTTTCTTCTCTGCTGGATGGCTCAGCAAATAATTGTCCTGCTGCTGGAGAGATGAGCAGCTGAGAGTCCCTGAAGCCTGCTGGGCTCAGCATCCTGAATCTAGTTCCAGGGCACCTGCAATTGTCAATTCACCCCACCCCCACCTTATCTCAGCATCTACTCACAAAGTCACTTCTTTCCACTGCTCCATGATCCTTATACAAAGAAATCCCATGGCCAAGGACCCAATGAGACCATTTGAGCCATTTCTTATTGTCTTTTGAATTCCGTTACTGGTTCTAGACTTATAGTCGTAATCAATTTCTTACTGGTATAACCCCATCCTCACCTCCACGGAGACAATGTCTAACTATAGCATATGCCAGGACTCAAACTCAGGGTCCTCCTTTCTTAGCCTGCTGGATATTGGTATTTTTTAGATGCATGCCACCATGCTCAGCTAGCATCCCATATTATCTAAGGCACAATTTGCTGTAGTTCCATTTGCTTTCTGTTACTTCCTTCAGTTTGCATGTTCTTTGAACCTAAATTCTACTGTAGTGTAGGTCAAGCTCCATGTGGATTCAATGGAAATCCTGACACGTTTTGGTTTTGATGTAATGAAGTCATAAGCTATGCAAGGGAGTAAGTAGCTCTTGAGATTACAGACTTTGTTTTCATTTGGCTGAAGAACTTCATGGCTGAGATGAAAACTTAGCTGACATCCAGGTAAGTAAGGAGACGAGGCAAAGCATGTTTGTATCTGAGCTTTGTCCTGGTGCTTGAGCAGAAGATAGTGACTTGTGACAGTAAATGCCACCACATTTTATAGTCCATCTTCTGTTTTTATACTTGGTGCTTTTGCTTTACACACAGGATGAGGGCCCTCTACACATGGGTGTGGCCATCTCATGTGCTGAAGGCGGGGCAGGATGCTGTATGTTGATTTCAACACCATATAATCTTTGTACTTTACCCATGTAATGGCACGTGGTATGACGTTAATGATATACATGGCATTTGCTCTCCTTGACAGACTTCTGAAAACATTCATGATGTATAACAACCGTGCCATGACCAAATGAGGCCGCTGTATTATGTACAGTCTCTCGAGCTGAAGTTTCCTCGCCTTCCCCTGCCCCTTCCCCCTCAGGATCCAGGGTGACAGGTCCTGAAAAAATGATAAGTGATCAATCTGCAGTTATTTAATGAGCAAATGAAGTGTAAAATTCAGTTCATGCTGAGTGTGTGTATTAAAACAATAATTTTATTACTGATTGTTATCTGTGTTTATTTAAAACATCCCTTTGGCTGTCAACTCAGATAAGACAAGCAATGCATCTGCCCCAGACTCATATTCTAGAATATTAGTTGGGAATTACACTAGCCACTGTAGAACATGTGTTTTCACTAATTAACTGCAGCACAGCTAGTCATTAATGGTCAAATGGCTCAATTTCACCCCTCCTTTCTCAGCATAGCTAAATATGCTGCTCCCTGGAGGCCTGGAGGGGTGGTAGGTCCAGAAATAACAACCAGTATCATTTGAGAAGTGTGTGCTGACCTTTTCCAGGCACTGACCAGCAAAATTTCAGAATCAACCTGCTCCCTACCCCCACCTTCCTGAGAGCCATACTGTGAGTTTTGTGTTCGTAGTCATCGGGCAGGGACAGGCTTGCATTCCATCCAGACATTGTTTTTTGTTTTTGTTTTTGTTTTCTTGAAGACATGTTGGGCTCTCAGTGTCTTAGCCTAGAATCTTAGCACTCAGGAAGCAGCAGCCAGGAGGATTGTGAATTGGTTTGAGGCCAGCTGGGGCTATGTAAGTGGCAGTCTGTCTACAGAGCAAGGTCTGAGGGTGCAGCTTTAGCTTAGTGGTTAGAGCTCAGGCTCTAGGTTCAACCTCCAACATTGCCAATAATCTAAGTAGTTTGTTTTCTAAATCCACAATGCATTTTCTCTTTTTCTGGTTACTCTATGTTACTCTCTACAACAGGTATCAAGGAGAGAAATACATAGAAATCCCCTGGGGGAAAATCATGTTTTAATGCTTTTGTAGCACATTTCATTAATAAAAACAGCAACAAACTCCATGGCCCCAGAGTGAGCTAGAGTAGGGTGCTTTTCCTGACCACTCAGACCATGACCTCCAGGAAAAGAACTGCACTCCAGCAGCCAAGTCCACAGTATTTACATTAACAAGTAGTCCATCTTGCAACTCTCCAAGCAACTCCCAGTACATTCTGAAGGAGAGAGGCCCGTGGGCTTGTATCCATACTCTAGTCCAGGATATCAAGCAGAGTAGAGACTGGGCAAGAAGCCTATTCCAGCTCACTGGCAAATCCAGAGGGTTCCACCTTCAAACTCAGTTCTCCTCTATTTAAATGGTTAGGCTACCACAGTTCACTTGCAGGCCAATGCCATGTAGGTGTACTTTCCCTTTAATTTAAGTGGGCAATTTAGGAATAATAGCAGCTTTGAGGACTTTGGGGAGGTGGCAATTAGAATTCTCTTTTCTTGCCAAGATTGTGTTTCTTTGAAAAGATACTGTCTGCTTTGAAGAGCTGCATTCTTGCTAACCTGGTGGCACTGGCACGGCCAGGTACAAAATCATCACGCATCCCGAGGTTTTCACAGTTTGGATCTGCTGATGAGATAATTGGGATGCTTTGTGTTGTAAACAGACTTCACATCATCTCACTCCAAAACTGTCACCTCGTCCAAAATCAATTAAGAGAAATAACATGTTCTTGGGACTCATTAACCACAGGATCTAGTATTCTTTTTCAGTCTGAATTTTTCAAAATGGTGTCTGTTTTTGTCCTGACAAATATTCTAGAAGATATATTCTGAACAAAAGGTGGTTGGAAATAGAAATAATTCAGTGAAGTAATCTTAGTGGACAATGGTGATTTTTTTCTTTCTCCCCCCCCCTTTTTATTTTAAGTCTTGCTAAGTCAATGATTAGAAAGGAAGAAAATAAGTTATTTGTTGATAATGAAATATGTCCATTCCCTACAGAAGTCTCATGACATCATATTCAGAATTATCTGCCCTTTGTACTTAGATCTTTCTCTGGAATTAAAGGCCTCCAGCTGAAAGTTAACCTCCAACCCAACGACAATTACTTCTTCTATGTGAGAGCCATCAATGTGTTTGGGACAAGCGAGCAGAGTGAAGCTGCCCTCATCTCCACCAGAGGTACTTTCTGCTTAGCACAGAGCCGGAATGTCTGGGTGTCTGTCTCCATTCCTCCCCTTCTGTCATCCAGAGGAGACCCCTAGGGTGACTTTACAAAGTTCCAGCCTGCTGTCAGTGAGAGGACTTGTCTTGAGGTCCCATTGATCCAGTGTCAAGATGGTTCTTTTATTTGTTTTCTTCAAAGGTTCTGAAGCATTTGCTGTGCTTAGCAATCAGCCAGGGCACTTACAATACTGACTCCCTGGTCTCACCCCCCCCCTAAGAGAAATGGGTGTGTTTGATCTGGGGATGGGTTGAAGCATTTGTGGTCTTAGAAATCTTCCCAGACACTTTGTGATTCTCTCAGAATGCACTGTAATTTGTAGGTGTGGGCTGTGTGTGATGGTTTTCTCATTCTGTTATCCTTTGAACTCTGTGACAGGTTTCCAGTTTTGTCCTCCTTATCCTAGTTTATGCTAATTAATGTTTGTCAAATGAATGAACCAACAAACAGACGAACAAATGAATAATTAAGATAGGTGATAAAACAGTTCAGTAACATTTGGGGGGAGACATCCCCAGAGAACATTAACCGAAAACATTCGGCATCTTTCAATTATGAGGAATGCAGAATAGCGAGGTGGAAATTCTGCTGCCTTATCCCAGATCCACAGATGGCACAAGACTGAGGGGGTACATTAAGTCACTGCACGGTGCCCTGTTTGTGATGTTTCTAGGGCCTGTCTGACTTGTAGGAAAAGATAGAAAAGCTGCCTTTCCAGGAATGTTTCCCTACCATCTCAGTACACTGCTTACACCTTCCATCATTGGAGCCTCTGTGGGCTAGTCTATTTCAACGCACACTTCGATCTTTGAGCATTTTGTCCACGTAGATAGTCAAATTCAATAGATCCAGGATAGGGTCTTCATTTCCAGGTGATGTGGATGCTACAAGGAGCACACCATGGCATAGCATAGACCCCACCTGCAGCAGGTTGGAGTGACCAGCCCAGGGCGTCCATTAATGCCTGCTCATGAATGGAGTGTCAGCTGTGGATTGAAAATTCCAAGTCAGGACTTTTGAGTTCAGGAGAGCGGGAGCCTTTGCTTGACATGTATGGGTTGGCCTGGTGCTTGGCATTGTGACAATGCTGTCATCTTATTTTCTTCCATAGGAACTAGATTTCTCTTATTGAGAGAAACGGCTCACCCAGCTCTCCAGATCTCCTCAAATGGGACAGTGATCAGCTTCTCAGAGAGGAGACGGCTGACTGAGTAAGTAGGAGCAAGCACAGCCGGGCTGATGCTCAGCCGTGCAGGATCAGTTTCCCCAATACCGTGTCTGCTGAGCGTATTCTTGGTTCGATGAGCTTGCTTAGTTATGCCACAAATATATGTGCAGCAGGCACTCTTCACTGTGAGGCGTGCAGACCTCACAGCTTGGGGCAGTGTCAATATTTTTATTGGGACCATAAGCGCAGATGGTTTTGGTTGAAACACTGGCTGCTTTAAGGTATTATCTCTGGTTCAGTGAAAACCAGAACCCAGTGATGACTCTCAGTTTTCAGTCAACCCAGGTGTGGAGCGCTTGGATTGGAATGGGATGGTTTCTTGAGTTCTTAGTTCTGGCCACAGAATCTTGTCCTCCAGCAGCCCCCACAAAAGGCAGTGACATCAAAGAAAACAGGAACGGAAAGCTTGGGATGGGTGGAAGATTGCCTGGCATTTACCTGCTCTGCGTCTCTGTCTCTCTCTGTCTCTCCCTGCCTGTGTCTCTCCTGTCTCTCTCTCAGCTATCTTGCGGGTTGAAATGGTCAAATGGGATAAAGTGTGGGCAAAGCATTGGCTGAGTTTCTCTGTGTCCCGGCAGCTGCTCCCAAATAACTACATTGAAACTTGCAATACCAATGCTTGACCCATAGTTTAGGCTTGTTTTTAGCTTGCTCCTATAACTTAAATTAGCCCATTTCCGTCGATCTGTGTGCTGCCCCAAGGCTCACTTACTTCATCTATGTACTTCCCATCCTGCTTGCTTTGCACTTCATGGCATCTTCCTGAGTCCCTGGGACTCCCTTCTTCCCAGAGTCCTCCTAGGCTGTCTCTCCTGCTCAATCTCTTCCTGTCTAGCTAGAAGCTAGTTAGCTCTTTATTAACCAATAAGAGTAATGCATATTTACAGCATACAAAGATTATTCCATAGCAGCAAAGCTTTTGAAACACATACTGTAGAAGACACTGATGTGCCCAGATGTAGGCTGTGAGCAGGAGCAACAGTGTAGCATTCATTCCTGTCTCTGGTAACTTGCACGCACTCTGGTCCAATCTTGACATTCCACTACCACTGGAAGTGGCCAAGTCTTCCCCAGGCCACAGAACCTCTGACCTGATCTGGATTAGGTTCTAAGCACTCATGTTGGGCAGCTCACAACAGCCTGCAGCTCAAGCTCCTAGGGAACTGATGCCCCCTTCTGGCCAGTGTGGGCAACTGACCTTGTGTTCACATATCCACACACATAACAACACATACACATAATTTAAAAATAAATTTAAAAAGAGAAATATATGGGATTTATTCTTTAAAAAATAATGAAAAAGAAGTAGACTGGAGTTGTAAGAGTTCATAGATGCTATTTGATGAAAACTGGGGTGAATTTTGTTTATTTATTATTAATATATGAAAACTAGCTTGTAAATGAGTATTAGGATGCCTGGCTTTACTCCAGGGAGTGAGGGCTTGTCAGTTGGCACCTCTCTAGATGAAGTTATTGGGTAAAGACATAGAACAAGTGAAATACATTTACTTGCATTAATCATTTCCTCACTGTTCAAGGGGAGAGAGGAAGTGCTGACTGAATATTAACACTATGAAGTTAAAAATGCCTCCTTGCTGTCTCAGCCATTTTCCAGCAAAGCTGAGCAACCCATGCAAACAAGGTCACTCGTCCATGGCTGCAAGGGCTCAGGCTCATTTCACTGTGCTCTTTATTAAAATACCTATAGTCAACCAGAAAGGAGCCTTGAACTCACCTCCCAGAGGCACCTGCAGCCATGGAGACTATGAAGCATCTCCCCAGAGCCACTGGTCATGCTGCCCGCTTCTAGGCTCTGGCCTTTGCAGATGTCTTGACATTTAAGAGCTGTGCCCCCACAGGGTCACGGTCACAAGGAAGGTCAGCTCATGCTGGCATTCAGTTCTAGAAGGTTTGAAAGGCTGAACTTGCTTGTGCACACCTATAATCCCAACATTCAAGGAAGCTGTGCAAGGTGCATCACAGAATCTGAGGCCAATGTGAGTTACATAGTGAACCCATGTGCCAAAAATTCAAAATGTGAAAAGTTCTGGAGATTCCATTTTTAACTTTGCAGGTTTTGGAAGAAGACTCTGTAAGTCATGGTATCCCTTTCATTTCCCTGAGAGAAGAGGTTATAGCATTTCTTTTCCTTCCCATCATTTTGCCAGCCATCGCCTGGTTCCCAGACCCTTGAAGAAACACAATGTACCATATGTGCATGCGTAACACGGTGGGCATATGTCAAATGCATGCTGGAGGTTTGTGAATCCTGGGGCAATCTGGCCAGGGTTAGGAGCATAAGGGACAGATGGTATCTTTAGTCAATTGCCAGCAGTTTCTGAAGATAGAGCCCTGCATAAGGGGTATGTAAGGTTGATGCTCATGGGATAAAGGCTGTGATTTCTGTGGTAACCTTCATCTGATCAAATTTGCTTACAGGATCCCCTCCGTGCTCGGGGAGGAGCTGCCTGCCTGTGGTCAGCATTACTGGGAAACCACAGTCACAGACTGCCCAGCCTATCGACTTGGCATCTGCTGCAGCTCAGCTGTGAGGGCTGGTGCCCTGGGACAAGGGGAGACCTCGTGGTACATGCATTGCTCTGAGCCACAAAGGTAAGCCAGGTTCCTGCCTTTCTTAACTCAATCCAAATGTCACTTACAGTGTCTAGGCAGGACCTAATGAGGAGCTTTTCATGTCCTTGCCCAACTTCCAAACAAATAAGTCAGTAAACACAATGGGTAAGGCAGTTAAAATATCACCCTGGTTACCACAGAAACTAGACAAGAGTGCATCTTATATTCAGCCTCATGACCATACAGACTCAGCCACCAGAGCCACAGTGGGGCCAACCTTCCTGCTCTGTGGGACACTCTTGTCCCTGGAGAGGCAGAGAAGGGTGTTTTGTCCCCTCATCAGCCAAGACAAAGGAAGAATCTGGCAGTTTTCTATTCTAAACTCATCCCCCTAGTGGAGAGAAGTACCACAATGATGTTCAAAGGGCTCCCCGTACTGAGAAGGAATTGGCAGGAATGAGAAAGAGGTGGTGGCTCTCCAGATCTCTGTCCAGTATTGACTTACAATAAAGTTTTATTAGAAAACAGTCATGTTCATTTGTTTATGGCTACTTTTGTACTAATGTGGCAGACTGGAGAAAGACTGAGTAGCTGTAACATGCCAAGCTTTTTTTTTTTTTTTTTTTTTTTTTTTTTTTTCTGTCTCTATAAATAAGTTTACCAAACTCCGGTCTCTATTAGTCTCTAGGGCTATGGTGAACATGCTGTGTTGGCAGTATGCTTACAGGATTGTCTGATTTTTTTTTTCCTGGCTTTGCCTCCTATTGGTTACCCTCCCCAAGTTTGTTAACCCTTTGATCCATTGCTTATTCATTTAGTCTATCTCTGAAGGTCTTGGTTTGCCAGTACTTGACATACACAAAGGCTTAGTAAGGTTGAGGCTTGGCCTGCTACCTATTGGGGTTGTAGGATCGCATAAAATTAGACACAGGGAAGAGCTTTGGCACTGTAATATATCACCCAAGTGGCAGGCATTGTTCCAGTTTTAAAAGGAAGCTGTCTTTCGCTACTCCTGCTTGTGAGTTCTCAGAAAAGGCACCCAGACTGGGATTTTACATATCTTCAGCTGCACATCGTTCTCCACATTCTACTTGACAGTTTGATTCTCTGAGATGGCTCACAAGGATGCCGTCTCCAAGTGCTGTGTAAAGTCACATTTCATCAAGTCAGAGCAATATGATGAATTGAAATCCAGTGCTGTGCCATCCTTCGGGCTCAGCCCCTGCCCAGAGTTTAAAATCATTTAAACATAGAGTTTACAGTTAGCAAATTATAGGAGCCCAACATAGGTATTAATTTTATTAAAAAAAAAAAAAGGATAAGCAACTCTTTACAGGCTAGTAAGATGGTTCAGTGGATGAAAGTACTTGTTGTGTGAGCGCAAGAACCTGAGTTCCATCTCTGGCGTCTATGGTGGAAGGAGTAAGCCATTGCCAAAACCTCTGTTCTGACTTCTGCATGTGTCTGGTGGCGCACAGGCATACTGTGCCCTGCACAGCAGCAGTAGTGATGGTGATGGTGAGGATCTTTTACACACTTGAGAACACAAGGCAAATGCTAGCCTCCAACTCTCCAATCACAAATGCCCGGGACTGACTTTATAGGAAACACAACTGTATGTTTTGTGACAAGCTCTTCCTATGACTTTGGTCACTGGTTCTTTCAGGCCCTGTGTGGGCTTCTGGGAGGCAAATATACCTACCTTTGTGGTTGCAGCACAGAGGCCAATCTAAAGTGCCTTTATTTCATGCTCTGATGGTGCCACACGAGGCCCCCATGGCCTTTAGGATTCTGGGAGTGTGGAGCAGCAAGCCCTCCTGGGTCTCAGTTTTTGAGTTCAGCCAGCTCTGTGGCTCCTGACTGAGTGTGAAGACGGCCTTGGGAGACAACAGAGGTTCTTCTTAACTTCTTCACTTTGCCATACTGGTTCAAGGCCCCTCATGTCCTTCACCCGTCTCGCCCTAGCCACGCTGTCTGTGCCCACGCTGCCCTGCCTGCCACATTATTTCACCACATCCCTCCATTTCCTTCCACAGTCAATCCACAGATATCTCTGGTGACATCAGAACTCAGGGTGGAGGGGCCCTTAGGGGACACAGGGAAGAAGGGAAACCGGGCTTAGTGACTAGGCTGAGGGAGGAGGGAAGTTGTCTCCAGTGTACAAAGGGGTCTGGCTGAGCCTGGATCAGCTTTGTTCAGGGTGTGGCAAGCCCGCCCCAGGGCAGGCAGTTTGAGAGTCATAGTCACACACAGTTGGGCTTCTGGATGAGTTGTATTTGAGTAGACATCAGCAGTCCCAAATAGGAGCAGGCAAATGGAGGAATGAGGTCATGCCCAAGCAAGACCACATGAAGCAGAGGAATGCCTCCTTTTAGCTCAGGGTCTCTTTTCCCAGTCACTTGGCCTGGTTGTGACAGCACACTAGACCACGTTGGTGATGACCCATGGCAGAGGAAGACTGCCTCATCAATTTGGTGTGCAAAAAGAAAGGAAGGAATCATGCCTCACTACCCCTTTCAGAGAGCTCCCTCAGTGGCCTAACTTCCTTCCATGAAATTCCACATCCTAAAGAAACCACCAGGGCCATAGCACAGGCTGGTGACCAGGGTCATAGCACAGAGACTTAAGGGGACAGTCTGTGGTAAATGAGGAATTGGTGTGCAGAAGTGGGAATGTACTCCAGGTTCTGTGGGACTAATGGCGTCAACATTTTAAGGGATGTCTTTCCCTCTGACCTCCATGATGGAGATTGCCTTGGGACTGATTGATGATTGATCTTCTGGGAATAGGGACTTGTCAAGCCACAGGCGAAGGGCATCAGTTTACTGGGTCATTCAGAACCTTCTAGACCAGTGGTTCTTAACATGTGGGGCCCGACCCCTGGGGGCACAAACAACCCTTTCACAGGGGCACCTAAGACCATCAGAAAACAGATAACTTTACAATTTATAACAGTAGAAAAATTATAGCTGTGAAGTAGCAATGAAAGTAATTTTACGGTTGGAGGTCACCCCATGAGAAACTAACTGTATTAAAGGGTCACAGCATTGGGAAGGCAGAGAACCACTGCTCTAGATCTGTGTTATACAATAGTACCGGCTACCATAATAGAAAAATGGCGTCACAGCTGTTCTTGAACTGTGGCAGGTAAGGCTGAAAACCTGGTTTATACATTGTTAAATGTTGAAGTGGCCAGATGTAGTTAGTTAGTGCTGACTGTCCCTATTTGGGACTGCTGGTCTCTATTCCACCAAGTAACCCAGAATTCCAATTCTTAATACCATAGGACCCTGGAACTGCCTGGCCTAGGGTCTCGGCCTCCCTGAACACACTACCCAGACGGATTGATTGTTAGTGTCCCGTGTCCACCCCAACCTGCCCTTCCCCTCCTCCTTGTTCGTCCTGCTGCTTTCTTTTTCTGTTGCTCCATCTACTGAGCTTTCTCCGCCCACGCCTGTCCTGCCCATCCCCGATGGCTTGTCTGCCCCACACCCCCAGAGAGGAACAAGGTGCACAGACCTGCCTGCACAACGTGCGAGCGAGCGCGCAGCGTGGGGGATGTGTTTGTATTGGAGAGTGACACCAAGGCACCCTCTGGCTGCTGAAAATTTAGTGATAAAAGGGGGAAATGGGTCTGGGCATGGCGTGGTGGGGTGGGGGCGCTAATTCAGTGCTTGAAGTTGGCAAGAACTAGCGACATTGCTCTTGAACTTCACAAAGGCCCTTATGTAAGTTACCTATAAAGCTTTAAAAATGTAAAAAGAAAGCGTTGTATGGAAGGCAAGCCCACAGTACTGTTTAAATACACGGCAGCCAAGAGAGTTTATTCAAGAGAATGACACACCATGAATGCGGCAGTTGAAACATGTGGGCAGCTGGGAAAGAACTAGAACGTGGGGAAAAATCACAGGGGAGGCACATGCTGCTTATTCTGGGACTGCCCCCTAATACAGAAGGAGCAGAATGATTAAAACACCTCCGCTGGATGAGCTACGCATTTGAGCATCTAGAGGCACTCCAGCAAATGTACTTGGGACAACATTATGTCAACTTACCACTGTGAACTAGATTAATAAAGTGAGACCTTGATTGTTTCCAAGTGATTTTTCTTATTAAATCTTAAGGATTTCCTAAGATTTTATAAATTAAATTTCTCATTCTGTTTCATTTCAGGTACACATTTTTCTATAGTGGCCTTGTTAGCGAGGTACACGCGACTGAGCGTCCAGCCAGAGTGGGCATCCTGCTGGACTACACCAATCAGAGACTTCTATTTATAAATGCTGAGAGTGGACAGCTGCTCTTCATCGTGAGGCATAGATTCAGCGAGGGCGTCCATCCTGCCTTTGCCCTGGAGAAGCCTGGGAAATGTACTCTGCATCTGGGCTTAGAGCCCCCGGATTCTGTCAGGCACAAGTGATGCTGGCCAGTCAGAGTTTGTAAGGATTCAAGTTTGGGGTGGAGAGCTGTCATCTCTCTCTCCAGTGCTGTGTGTTACACACCTGCACGATAGCTAGGTACCATGGTCAGCACGTGAGGGCAGCCAGGGACCTCATGACCTTATAGAGCAGTGTGTGAGCGGGCAGGGAGCCAACAGCCTCCACCCTTCGGTTCACAGTTGGATTTATACTTAACCTGGGAACCAAAGCCAGAGAATGGACTTCTGCCTCTTATTGGTCAAACAAATCCCCCAGTAGCCACATCAGAGAGGAGGGAAGGTTTTGTTAGTGCCGCATCTCGTGTGACAAAGAGACATAGACATCTTCCACAAGAAAAATGTCACCTTGCTTCACTCAAGGAAAATGAGTCCTAGTCATTACAGAAAATGTTTTAGCTGATCTAAATTTACAGTGACTTCTTTTCTTATAATGTATGGTGTAGAATGTAAGCCCCACTTCTCTGAAAATTTAAATGTAGAACAGCACCAGACATTAGAAATGTCCGTTTTGTTAAATAAATGGCTAGAATCTTAAAGAATAAAATCTATTGTGTGAACTTATTGCACGTAACTTGGTCCAGTGTGTAGGCCAGGACACAGTGCGGAAAAAATGCCTGTCACATCCCAGGGGGACAGTGCTACTATTAGTTCTCATTAGGCAGCTGTGCACACAAATTTTTTTTTAAAATAAAAATGCTCTCAGTCTATAAAGCCTGTGCAGCTGTCCATAAAGTCAGCCATCGGGAGTTATGAATCTCTTTTTATGAATAAATATGCTTACTTATTTTTTGGATATTATACTGAAAGTTCTCAAAATATTTCAAAAGTATGTGTGCAAAATTGCTGGATCTGGAAGGCGTGCAGAGCTGATTGCTCCTGCTCTCCGTGATGGGAAGTCTTCATTATATTTAAGGTTTTCTTTTAATACCATATACTCAGTTATTCTCTCCCTCCCTCCCTCCTCCTTTCTCTCATTTCCTCCCTTCCCCTCCCTCCTTCCTTCCTTTCTTTTCTTTTTTTTTTTCAAATAGCATCTAGCCCTGGCTAGCTCAGAATTCACCAGGCTATCCTCATACTCAGGGCTCTGCCTGCCTCTGCCTGGTGAGTGCTGGCATTAGAAGTGTGTGCCTCCATGCTTGGTGGTTCAGTTATTTTCTTGACTGGAGAAATAACATTTTACCTTTTTAAGGATACATTTTAAAGTGTGTTTTTAATAGCTAGAAAGTCCAGCTTTGACCTGCACTTGTCCTATAGAGCCGCTTGGAAGCCTTCATCACCTCATTCTTGGTTCTTGGTGACACTGGCACTGGAAGAATAGCCTGTGGTGAATGTAATCTTCACCTTTTCAAGGTTTGAAAGGTGTTTGTCTTTGGTTCTGACTGATGAGCCATTGTAGTGAGATAGTCCTTCTGTGGCACTGACCACGCCCATTGGAGAAGGTGGGGGAGGGGAGCGGTGTCTGCTGCCTGGGTGAAATCCAGGTAATCCCGCTTCTGACACCAGATATCGCGGTTAAATAAGGATCAGGATAAACAAATAGGCCTAATAGATGTTTATTCAGGGAGAAATAACTTACAACCTAGACAGATGAATACCAGGAAATTCTGCCCAATCCTCTCCTGTCCGAGTCACGCCAGCAAGAGATCTTTTCCCAGCTCTCCCTCCGACTTCCTTCCACAGGTCACTTCTGCCCATGGCTCCACCCCCAATGGGCGTGGTCAGTGCCACAGAAGGACTATCTCACTACAAGCCACCATGCTTATTTTTACATATTTTCTATGAGGATGTAATGTAGCTTAGAGACAATAACAGTATAAGCAGTCACATGGACTTTAAGATTTGTCTGGCTGGGTTCTTTCAGATGTAGACCTAAAACCTAGCAGTCAAGGAACTGTAGGAGAGATGGGAGCTCCAATGGACACTGATCTGGTGCACTTGAGTCGGAGGTCCCTCTAGAAGCCACAGTGAACAAGGCAGTGGACATGTACCAAATGTCTGGAGGTGGGAGGTTTCCTGAAGGGCACTTTATACATGAAAACATATGCTACTTCTGACAGGCATGACAGTTCACCTTAGCAAAAACGTAATTAGTAAAGGAGTTTGTGAGAGAAGAGAAAGAAGGAACAATGTTGTGGTATTTCTCTGCATGTGCGTGTGTGTGCATGTGCGTGTGTGTGCGTGCGCGCATGCGTGTACATATGCGTGCATCTGTGTGTGTGTGTGTGAGCATTCATATCGCTTAACAACACTGAGTGGGTATATTCTTCATCAAAAATAGAGCAAACTATTGTTTTTCTGGTGGCACTTCCGTAAAGCCCAGCAGAGCTGAAGTATTGTCACCCCTAAGCCCACAAACCAACACAATGCTTTAAGACCAGACAGCATCACTTTTAAGTGGGCAGCGTTCTTGAGATCTCACAGGTTTCTGAAGTCCCCTCTCACCCCACCGCATTCACTAGCCATGAATCACCACGTGTCCAGTTGCTGAGAGAAGCCTTGAGCCTCCAGCTGATTCTGTTAAAGTTGTATGTATATATTACAACCATATCGAGGAAAGCTTGGCATCACACGGGTCATGACAGCTTAGGTGTAAGAATATTTATGCCCCCACTGTTGGCTCCTGTGGCTTTCACATTGCCTCCAGCCTTAAATCATCACCACCAGGGAGCTCAAATCTTGTTTGTGGTAGTGATGATAGTTTGTGGTGAGACTCTAGCTATACAACTAGCCCTGACCTTTGGAACTCAGCTCTCTTGAGCCTCCCATGCTCTACCAAAACCAAGTGCAAATTATGTACCCAGTGATCATTACTCAGTAGTACTGACAGACCACGACACTGGTGCTCTGAAATGACCAGTGGTTACAAGATTGTAGAAAGTCACTTGTTTTCAGATGTTAGGGTTCATAGCATCGCCCAAGTGTCAGTAGCTCTGCAGAGATGCATGTGTTTAATTAAGAGTGGCTGAACTTCTGCTAGAAATGTATGGTACTGTAATCCTGAGTCCAGCTGCCGGTGTGTTTCAATAATGCCATTTGTAAGATCAACGTGAGGGCACAGCGGTTAGTGAGCTTGCTGTTGAATCTGATGTCCTGGTTTCATTCCCAGAACCCACATGGTGGGAGGAGAGGACCAATAAAAACCAACTCAGACAAGCTGTCCTCTGAGCTCCAAACACATGCAGGTGTGGTATGCTTGTGCTCACACAGACACATCCTCCCCAGTACATCTTCTAGCGCACATGCGCATGCATGCACTAGGAAATAAAAAGCCAACCAAACAGCGGCAAACCCAACAGACTCCTGCTGAGGGTTCTAGAGCCAGGACTGGAAGCTGTTCCGAGTATGGGATGACGTTCCACAGAGATGCCTGGAGACTAACGTGGCATCCAGTGGGAAAGCCAAGTGGGAATGAATGCTGACCCCATCTCCTTTTTCCATTCACTTGTTAAATTTTAATACATTGGGTTCATACACTTGATACGAGGGCTTCTGTGGTTAAAAGAAGTCCAAAACTGATAGCATCCTCTCAGTGCTGTGACTCAGGATGCTCTACTCTCCCGTCTTTAGAGGATCCATCCCTTTCTATTCAATTTTGAATATTACACCAACCACACTATGTTCTGCTCCTAGCCCAAGTTTCTAGATTTCCTGCCCATTGTTACATTTTACTCTGGTTCTTCCTCTATTTCCGATGTCTCCTTCCCTGTGTTAAAAACAAACAAACAAGACAAAATAAAACCCCAAAACAAGAAACCAAAGGCAAGAGGAAACAAACAAACAAATAAAATAAAAATAAAATAAAATAAAAAAAGACTTGGAGTCAGTAGGGGACATTTTTAAAGGACACAAAACATGCAGCCGAATGTCCAGAGTCCCTTCTGATCTTGTTTTCAGCTGCCTTCCTGCTGTAGCAAACAGACTCGGCCCCCTCCAGCTAACACTGCTGCTTTACGCGTCTAGCTTCTGCTCCCTTGAGTTTCTTTTCTAGGGCAGACGGTGGATCTAGAAAACACCAAAATGTGCAAACCTCTCCCTAGAATAGACATCTTTTATAATGGTCTGAGAGCAAAATATGCCTTCTTTCTTTCTGCCTCTTTCGTCTCTCACAAGTCCTGGGCCTCTCAGAACTAAAAGGGGCATTAGAGCTATTGCTCATACTCAAGGACATTCCTCTCCCAAAGAGGGATTTGATCGTTACCTCTTCGAATGGTTTAGGATCTCCCTCACACCTTCTCCAGTGGGGTTTCACTGAGCCAGTGATTGACTAAAAAAAAAAAAAAAAAAGTCTGTTCTTAGCCTAAGTGGCCCTCTGAGGCTGTGTTGAGCTACCCCAGTACTATCCGGAACTTCACTCCTTGGAAGACATCAAGGAGGAATGACAGGCGCATGGCTCGGCATGGCTTCAGGGATTGCTAACTGGGTGAGGAGGAGATGAGGAAATAAAGCAAGAATGGACACACTGACATATACAGCAAAACTTTTGTCTGGTGGGCTGTGCTCACTCTGGGTGGAGGGCACCAACTGCAACAGCATCCTAGAGCCTTAGCCTGTTCATTTAATACATCAGAACGAGGAGGAGGGTTTATTGTTTATGGTTGAATGAGGATGCAGGTTTAGCTGATCTCTGCAGGAAGTCTCTGTGGGGGAGTGGTCACCCGGAGGAGACAGCTGTGACTGTTAGGTTGCACATACACTGCCAACATTGTTACTTGGACCACAGGAAGGTTCAGCCATCCCTCTGAGTCTCAGAGCCTCACCCAGGGAAGGCTTCTCCACTCCCACAATCCGAAGCATTGGGGTCCTTGACATGGTTGGGTTCGTGTCAACAAAACACATTCTCTTAGATTTCATCTGTCCCTTACATGTTCACTCAAGGCTTCCTTCACACTCTGCAAGAGCCAACATGTCATTCGTGTATTTAAAAACTTCAGGGGACGGGTGTGAAATAACGACAAAAGGGGAAAAATAGGACATGGCAAAGGAAAGCCACAGTTAGTTCATCCAATGCAGTTATTGATGCTTATTGTGGTGGTGGTGGGGGGATGGGAATCACTACGTCAGAGATGTACATCACAAAAGTGTG